AAGATGCTCAACCACCACTGCATTTCTAATATTATGTTGCATTTAACTTAAAGGGGAACATAAGGGAAGGACAAAGGAAACAAGGACAACATCCCAAAATATCACCTCTACATCAGCTGAGTTCTACCATGACAACCCTCAAGGGGTTGTTTCCTCCGTTGGCAAATCACTAATTAAGGAAAGCAGTTGTTGGATCTGAACCCATGTCGCTTCCATCGATTCAAAGTCCCTTTTGGCTTGCAACACTCTCTTCACCCGAGCTTTCTCATGGATACAGTGATCATGAAGCAACTTCTGTGTGTACTCAAGCTTGTAACTGATTTGATCCATTTTGGTTTTGGCGTTGGCATGAAACTCCTCCAGTTTCTTCAAAACAGCTTTCTCCTCACCCAGTTTTTTCTCAAGCTCTTCAATGATTGATTTTTGTACAGTGATACAATTCAGAAACTTTGGTTCATCTTCTTGAGCTTTAGAAAAGCGAAGAGAATAAACTTCTACTTCTTGTTCCAGTTCAATTTTCTGATTAAATTGTTCTTGAACTTCAGCTGTGATTCCACTAGCCAAGTGATACTTCGACTCCACAAAAGCAAGCTTCTCCTGGACAATTTCAATGTTCGCAAATTCAACGCCAGTTTGGTCATTCGCTATGAGCAAGATTTCCAGCGAAGATTTTAATTTATGTAAACATTCAATCTCCATGACTTCATCTAGAGAGAGTGTGGAAATACTTTGGATCTTGGCCTTGGCCTTAGAAATTTCATCAGAATTAGGAATGAGAGCTTCTTTGGCGTTGGTGACTATGCAAACATCTGGATGCTGGAGGAGATATCTTTCAAGAAAGTCCAAAGCTCGGATAGAGGGCTCGGGCTTTGACATCTAAACTAAGATTCAGTCAGAATTAGAACACGACTGATAAGGAATACTGAAGTTAGATAAAAATTACCTTATGATCACGCTTCACAAGAAAGCCAGAGTGGTGCAAACCACTTTCTTTCCTCGAAGGATTTGGATGACATGACTGTTCTTGAAGTGGGAATAGAATGCTTGGCTCTGGATGAAGCTGAGGTTCAGCTATTTGGGTTGATGGAGATGAAATTCGACTAGGCAGCTCTCCATTTGATGCATCCAAAGCCTGAGTTAGTGGAAGATCTTTCAGCTTAGAACTAATGTTATCTTCAGTTAATTCGAAAATGTCTCCCTCATCTAGAGCATCAGATTGTTGTTTCGTTCGAAGAGGACTTGTGTTTCTCTCAAAGGTCGCTTTCTTTTCCTCAGAGTGAGATTGAGAATTGGACTTAATTAGATTTATCAAAAAACGATGCTCTTCCTCTTTGGTTATCCTTTTCTCGCCACAACCCTTGGAGACACTTAAACTGCTTTTGTCAACAATGGCTTCCTTGGACTTGGCATGAAATAGATAATTGCCCTTTATCATACTTCTCAACAAATGATATTCTGTTATAATCGTTCTTTTTTTACTATGAGCTCTCCCTCGTCCAGGCAGGTATTGAAATTTAGCCAGAGGCTGGGCTTCTTTGCAATGAGCTACACTGGAACTCTTTGCTTCCTGAGCCACACACTTCATTCGTTTTGTTGGTGGGTGTGCTTGCAATTGGTCAGATCTGCTGCCTTCTGTTTGGAAGGAGGTTAACTCTGCATAGGAAGAGCAAGTTATAAATTTTAACGATCAAACAAATATGATATCATTGCCTAGGCCAACAAGGTAAACAACTTTGACAAAATCTTTGATGCACTTGAATTCTCAATCAGCCATTGGAAGGCCAACCCACATAACTACTATTGAAACCTTAAAATGTAATGAGAGGTTGACCAACCCAGCTAAACTAAAAGAAGCATTTGGATTAAATGGTGTATATATAATAACAAATGCATCAGTCCAATCAACGATTAATGAACACCAGTAGGGTTTTCTGTTCATCAGAGGGTGCCGTTGAAGAAATAAATAACTTCTTTCAAATTGTCCAGTTTTTACAATTTTGTTGCTGCTAGAGCATTATTATCTCATCTTTTAAATTGTTTCAAATAATTCAACAAACAAGTAGTTGGGGTTGAAAGTACCTTTACGCTTGTTGAGAGCAGATGTTGACTTAGGTGGATGAAGGGGTCTGTTCTGGTCCAAGTCATCAAGCTTAAAAAGATGGTTCAAATCTTGATCATGAGGAAAGGCTTCCTTATAGAATTTTTCCCACCAACATTGGAAGGATGAGGTGGCACTAGGTAGAAGTGAAAATGGAACAAATTTAAGTTTCTTGAACAAAAGAGATGTGGTAACCTTAAGCACCAGGAATTGTTCAGAAGTGTCAAATATTGCTCTTTCGGGGGAATGGGTATTGAAAGAGAAGAAAGGAGGAGTAGGAATGCCTTGAATCAGACCGAACTGACGGGCACAGAGATTTGGGCAATATGCTTCAACACCGCAAGTTTTACTTGCAGATCTCCCAATCATGATACCAAGAGGAAGATCACGACTAACAAGAAAGCTGGCCCACATGTCCACGAGTGTAGAAAGCTCGGTCTTGGTCATTTCAGACTGAGGAAAGATCAACCATGTAGGTAAAGCATCTGACTTTGAATATGGGATGAAGTTAAAATTCTCTTCTCTGTCAAAGTGGCACATATACATTAAACAATCATGCAATGAACTTTCAGGCTCTTTGTACAAAACATACTTTAGTCCTTCACAGGAGAGATGGGGAACAGAAAAACAACCAGGGCGCAATTTTGGAAAGTAGGCATGAAGCCATAGTTGTAGAATCCATAATGGACCTCCAGCAGTACCCAACTGAGAGTGAAGCAAGTCGTTGATGCCTCTATACAAGTAGGCAAGAACAAGGGGTCCTAAAGCGTATGACTCGCCCCTAGATAAAGCCACAGCCAAGGGGAAATTGGCTTTTACAATCTTGAATGAAGGAGAACAAATTAGATAACGGCAAAGCCAGTATTGTAGAAAAGCTACATGCTCTTCTTCTGTGACAACTCCGTCAACTTTGTTATGTTCTCTAATGAAGGAAGCAAAACTTTTGAGCTTCGTAAACTCAATGCCAAAGTTATCATCTGGAATGGAGATCGAATTACCAACAAGAGCATCAAACTGGGGGCCATCTGGTCTAAGTCCTACCAAAGCACTAAGATCTAAGAGAGTAACAGTAAGGGGACCATGCCCAAGGTGAAAAGAGTTTGTGGAAGTTGACCAAAAGCAGAGTGCAGCAAGTACTAAAGAACGATTGAACGGAATGGTAAACTTGGAGAATTGGAGAATATCATAGATTCCTGCTTGATGCCAAATATACTGCTTTTGATCTTCGACTCTTTGAAACCAAGAGACCCAATTAGGGTGCTTAGTTGGCCAAAACCGATGATGATCATGAAACCATTTATAGAACTTGGCATTTTGATTGTTTATAAGAAAATCCTCACTTTTGCATTTCAGAAATTCATTAATATGAATATCAGGGACATCATTTACGAATTCTGATGCAGGACCTAAGATGAAATGCTGGCAATTTGAATCAGGGATAAGTACCTGAAAGTTGGTAGTTTTAGGGGCTACTTCCCTCATAAGTTGCCTCAACCTCTCAACAGCCTTGGTTTCGGTGTCCAATCCATCATCAGAGGATGTGGTAATCATGTTTCCAGGGAGAGAACAGAAAACCAACAGTTCTAATCTAACACTGTTACTACTGACAGTCTTCTTCCTCCTGCTGTAAAAACAAAAATAAATAAAAACCATCTTTAAAACTGATAAAACCCATCTTCCATTGTAATCAACTTTTAATTTTACCTCATCAGTCAAAGTGTAACCACTTACATTAACAATTTGGGAAACAAGTTCCAGTGTGCCTATTCCCAAGAAGCTCAAGAAATGAACTGCACAACACACACAAATGCTCAATTAGCGACTCACATCAGATATGAGAAACCAAAAAAGAAATCCTCAGACGATTCTGACAAGCAAGCATGCATCTGCTGGAAATGGAAGTGATGATTAAACTAGCTTTTGGCGCATAACATGAAGAAACTTGAACCAGACATACCAAACAAGTAGATAACTGAAAGAAGCTACCGATACAGAGAGTTCAAAGAAAAGCAGAACACTTACCAAGGCAGCACAAGTAGCTTTCCAAGAAAGGTGCATGTTCGATTTTAGATTTCGTTTTCTGTCTTTGTTTATGTTTTGCTTCTTTCTTTTTGTTTTTGTTTTTCTTTTTTCTAGAGAAATGGAGCAAATTAAAACCTGCAGGGAGAGGAAGGCGAGAAGTCTTTATTGGCATATATTTATATCTATTTGAAATCTCCTTGTCATGATCCCAACGAAGAAATTAATTTTATTTCTTGTAAATTTTAATTTGCATTCTCTACCTATCAATTTTACAAGTGAGTAACAAAATATTGAATTGATTTTGGGAAAATATACATAAATACAACTCGCCACAACATTTCAATTAAAAATAGGATCAGTTACAAATTGTAAAAATAAAATTAAAAAAAATATTACTCACACAAATTTACCAAAATACATTTCATATATAAGTACAATTTTTGTATAGTGTCATTTTCATAATCGAAAAAGAGAATTGTTGTAAGTAGAGCCCAAATCTTCTATTTAACCTTCTCGTTTTTCCTCAAAACACGTGTCACTTTTAATACACTTTAAATAATATCATTAATGTATTAAACAAACTAGCTTTTGTTTTCTAAATTTACCTTTACTAAATATATTCTTTCATATTTTCTACATTTATCCATTCTACAAGCCTCTTCGCATCTGGTGTTCTAATAAAGCATATCTTCCAACAACAACAAAAAGTTTCAGAAGAGGATTTTGCCATCAGATGCTTCAACCTTGGCAAATATCTTCATGTTGTTTTCTCCTTTGCAGCGCAGGTTGAAGCATCCTTGTGCTAGACAGAAGAGGATTTTAGAGCACTGCCCAAGGTCAGAGGTAGCATGGGACAACAGCACGCCTACATGTTTCCCCATTAAAGTAACAGCACGCCTACAATCTGCAAGTCAGCGGCGACAACCGTCACCGTGATGGCGGAGATATCGGGTCTGGACCAAGCAATCTTCACGTCGACCACGTTGATTGAGTTGCACCACTCTCTAATGAGGGCATTTCTTACTGCACTTAGCGGAGGTTCCTTATCGGACATTTAGGCCAAGCTTAAACTTGAAGTTTTCCATCTTTCGTCATTTGCTCTGCTTTTCCAACCACCAATGGCAAGTGACCAAGAAACTCCCTGGTAGCCATGGACCAGGAGAGCGCGCAATTATATATAAATATATATATATATATATATATATATATATATATATATAGTTCCCTTCTATTGAAGGACACATTTTTGGGTACTCTACGAATTTATTTTCAACGATCCAAACAATCTATTTTTTAAGTCTATATTCATAAATCATCATTGCAAAAAATTAGACAAATCGGAAACCGTTTCGACATCCAATTGTGTCCTACAAAATAAATGAACACGGTACTTTAAGAAAAGTACTAAAGTTTTAAGAACTCAATTGAGTGGTCAAATGATATCGAATTCAAGTGATTTTTTGTAGAGATGATCTTTCAATGAGTATCTACAAAATAAACGGTTTGGATTAGTGAAATACAATCATTAAGGCATCTATTTAGGGTTCTCTATGAAATTTTTTTCAACGATTCAATTCATTTATTTTTCACATCTTCATTCAGATATCATCCTTGCAAAAAATCATGCAAATTAAAAATCATTAAGGCATCTAATTCATACCAACAAAATCGATGAACACAGTGCTTCAAGAAAGTACGTAAATTTCAATAATTTAATTGAGTTGTCAAATGATATCGGATTCAAGTGATTTTTTGTAGAGATGATCTTTGAATGAGTATCTACAAAATAGACGTTTAGATTTGTGAAATACAATCCGGAGTGATCCCTACAAGGAGTGTCCCTCAAATAGCTTATTTGAAGAATCCCTTAATGGAAGCTCTCTTTATGTATATATACAGAGATACTCATTCACTAATCCAAATTGTCTATTTTGTATAACTTCTAGTGCTCTTTTCATTTATATAATTTGCATCAAAATCAGAGGTCTTCCATGGCCCCGTCAACCTTCGAGAACGTCCTCCACCGTCTATTGGACCATTTGGAACTATATTTGGACGATTTAGCTTGAGTGTCACATGTATTTAGGGTGTTTGTCCATATGTTGAACCTAACCGTTTATTCTTCTTAATCTAGGTGTCACATCTTAGCATACCTTCGAAGACGAATCCACTAAGAGTTGAGCTAGCTTCCATTTAAGTTATTGTACAACGGTCCTTTTAAATGACTTTTTCCATTGCATGTTGATAGTTTTAAATGAAAATGATTTGAATATCGTATATTCTATTGAAGCAGACTCATTCAACAGATAATGGATAGGACTGCAGCCTAGTTCTTTTGAATTGGTTGGAAGACATTTCATGCACCTATCACGGTGCAAACAAGGTGAGTTGGTATATTTTTGTAGCATATATATCGTTTGAAATTTCTATGTACTTTCTCACTGTAATTTTCATGTAGTCTGTCGTAACTACGATTAACTCAAGTTCATCTAACCAACACTCAATAAGATGCATTGATTGTTTGACTACTTACGAGACTGGATTAGGCTGCATTCATAGATCAATGCAACTTTTCGCGTGCATTACTTCTCAACATCTCTAAGCTCATTTAAATTTCACCCAAAAAAAACATACATATATAGTCCTCTTTAGTTGAGAGATACATGGTTTTCACGATAATAACGTACGAACGTCGACATAAGAGAATTTCTGTATATAAACAGAGACAGTGCTTAAACCCACATCATCCAGAATATATAAACATGATTCTGCTCGAAGACAGGAAAAATTGTATTAAACACGTGACAAACTACTTCTCCAAATCTGCTAACTGCTTACCAAACTAAACCTCCAATTTAAAAATACCCCAGCTCTACAAGACTGATGTTTTAGCTCTTGATACTTGGAACCTTATTAAACCTTAAATTGTTTTTCTCGACGCTTCCAGATAACAGTAGCTGCTGCAACCTTATTCTTAGCAAGATTGACAATTTAGGATATCAACCTAAGTACCAATTTCCAACACTCATGTACAGTTGCACAGTCGTCCCACGAGAGCTAGGATTTAGGTTCTGCATTTAGCTACGAGAGCTAGCAATGAAGCAAATTTTGTCCTTCCAGGATACTTGGAGAGCAAATGGTCCTATTTGCAGGAACATCATTAGTGCAGCTACAGTTCTCACACCCAGGCATGTACAGAATGCAAATAAGATCATAAATAAGCTTTTAGCCTCCCTCAAGCACAAAACTGATCTCCCAAGAATTCCATGCCTAGTTTCTTCCTCTACCAAAATGTAAAATTATGAAGCCACAGTACAGAGAAAAAAAAACCTTAAAAAACCAACAAACTACTGAAATAACAGTAAATTTCATCCAAATAAGCACTAGAAACATTCTATCAATATAAGACTAAGACAAAGGAATCATGCAGAAATACGGAGACCCAAAATCAGAAAAAATAAAATAAAAATAAAACATATATATATAAGAAATGCAAGTAACCTTACAAGGAAAAACTAGAATGTAAACAAAAAAGATATCCAAGTGGATTGAGAGAAAGGGAACATACAAAATTCACATATCGAGTTCTTGAATGCATAAACAATACAACACATAACTTCCCGTATAAAAGGAAACGCTTTCAGGTGATGCAGTTGCTGTATAATGCCTAATTTGAGCTAGAACCTGCAGCGCACACAGCTGGTTTATTGTGGTTGTTTAAAGAATTTTCATCACCATTTTCTGATATCTGCTGATTGTCTGATTGAGGAACCGAACTATCTAAACTATTTGACACACAAGGATCATTAATTCTACTTTCGTCTCTCGTTTCCAGACGCTCCATCATGCGTGATACAGTTGCAAAGCCGGCATTAACTTCTCTTTTAACTTCAGAACCAAGATCTGCCATGGCAGCGTTACGAGAGAACAATCTCTCTTTCCAACCTCTTGTGCTCTTTGAAATTGACTCTTTGTATCTAATAGAAAATGTGAAACAAATACGTGTGACGTTTAAGAAATGATAAGGATTTAAGTTAAAAAAATATCTCATTCAGAGTCAGTATAAGAAATTTGTAAGCTTAAAGTACATTTATACCTCGTTGACACTGCATTAAATCGATTCTTCAGAGAATCTGAAAATGATTGCAAGTCTGATGGTCCAGCTCTATCTTGGGTACTCGGGGATGACTGACTAGGGGACCCCCTAAAGGATATGATAATAACATGGTAGTCAATTAACAGCGGAAAAAAGAAGATATAAGGATGGTATTTTATGCACCAACATATACCCTGAGAATTAAGCTGAAGAATCTAGTACCTATTGCTAATGGAAGATCCATGTTGATTGGGAGCCGGAACATTAGTTCCAGACGCTGAGGCAGAAACAGGACCAGATTGTGAAGAAGGTACTGGAGTGGTCACTTGAGAAGATTCTTCTCCCGTATTCAGAGGAGGCGAAGGAAAAGTTACTGAAATTGAAGGAGCTGGTTCACCTTCTCCCATCTGATCAGGGGAGGAAGAAGCAGCAGAAGGTGCATTAGGATGGGTGGAGAAGACCAGGAACTGTGGGCGCCCTTGAGTTGATGACCTATTCCTTTGGCCCTCCCTTCTGGCAACGTGGCGTGCCCGACCCATTGCAGCAGCCGCAGCTAAGTGCTGGATTATACGTTCTTCAAGTTCAGCATCATTTACACCCACAGGTAACTAAGGGACAATAATAAAATCATTTGAATAAGATCCACCTGTTCTGATACATATATACTAGATTTAATTATTGACGAGAAATAAAAAAGGCAGAATACAAACATGTTGCAATTCAAAATCTCCAAGAGTTGGATGATGAAATATTGTGGTATTTCGAGGTGGATTAGACCTAATACTTCTCTCCCGTTCTACTCCCTCTAGAAGTTCCTGGCTGCAAACAAAAACAAAATGAAGAACTTATCATTGTGTATTAGTAGTATGAATAAAATGAATATCAAGACCAGAAATCAAACTCCAGACCTGGTGGGATCCTTCAAGCTGATGGGTTGCCAGCACATAGGGCATTGGGAGCTTCTCTGACACCTACAAGATTAAAACTAAATTTCAAACAAGTATATTTTTGAAAATTTTCAATGTTCGTCAATATAAACTATTATACTTTTTATAATGAGGTTTAACATAACTCTCATCCTGTTGTGAAAACTTTGTTAGATTCTGTTTTAACTGCTAAGGTGATTGCAACATGACATAAAAGATTCCTAAAGAAATCTTAATAAAAACTGAATCGTACAGAAAACAAGCATCAGACATGGAAACAGGTTGAGAAAAGGTGACTAAATATCAGGCGTCATTCAAACTTAAACCAAAACATCCAGGGAGGGACTAAACCTCACTTATTTAACCCTTTGATAACAGATAAAAGTTTAATCATATCTATCTGGATAATCAAAATAACTGAAAGAAAGGTTCAATTGTTCCTAGGCAACCTGCAAGTTCATAAATCATGTAGGAAAGGAGACGAACTTCAAGATATGACAGAAAAGTTGTTTTGAGGCAGGTAAGCAAACATAACATAGTAAACATAAACTTACAGAAGCTAGGATACAGGTTTTAACCCTCTTGACTTCAAATTATGCCTTCATCATTATTATACACGTTAGTTATGACACGAAGCTGATATTGCAAAACTGAGATGCTCACCATTAGCTCGTATATGGGTCACATGTCTTTAACAGACACAAGCTTGACTATTATAATGAATATGTGTCATCTGACTGCTTCAGTTTAAAACCTTCAAGGTATAACTAGATCTCATTCTTAAATTTCATTAAACCCACAACGCATATTGGTACATGAATTCACAACTAACCAACAAGTGAATATCAGTTGATAAGCTGAATATTTTGGTTTCCTAGAACATCATCTTCTGTACATTTCACAAAATTCGATCAGGTTGAGTTTTCCATCACTTTGTTTGATAAATTAGAAGGAAGACAAAAGATAAGATTGGCCCAATTACTTATTATTAGTCAAGATAAGGAACTAGGGTGAGATTAGCCTAACAGCTTAAAACATTATGATACAACTTGATCTAGTCTCTATTTCCATCAGTTAACCTATACTCATTTTCCCATTATTTGGCTATCTTATAATCATGAGCTAAACGTTTATAGTCATTTGAGGAACAAGAAAAAGATGATCTAGCTATCATATCAATAATAAATAAATAAAATACAAAGGCAAATTAACATGAAAATACTAATAAATGGATATCAGAAAATACCACTCAAGAATGCATTGAAGATGAAATTCATGCTTGCAACCGGTCAGCTGCATATAGAAATGAGACTTGGTTACATAGGAAACCCTATAAGAAATGATAATAACGCCTGAAAGATTTATACGTACCGTAGAAGGATCACTGTCACAGAAGGCCTCAAGGCATATACTGCAAGCATCATCACAGGCTTCCTGGATTCCACCCTCCACAAAAGCTGCTGCTGATGTCAAGTGGGCCTCAGATTTGTTGGTCTCTTCCATTCCTGGAACCTGTAAAGCAATCTTGTAAGCTTGGTAGATATAATTTTTACAACTTCGCAAAGAATTTTCTCTCTCCTTAGAGAAAAAGAAGCATAAAGAAAGAAGGTGAAGCATTAATGCGATCCAAGCCCATGGAGTTTCAAATTTATGTATATCATCAAATAAATACGAAGTATATTGTTTGTTTTACTTTGTATTTGCAACACAAGGAATTGCAGGCCAACAATAACCACCACAAATAACACCCAACATAAACGGATCAAAATCCATAAAGTCAAATTAACAGTTCTCAGAACTGAAAATATATAACAAAAAGACTCCAACCCTTGAATTCAGAGTTAAGGAATTCAAGTCCATTGAAAAAATAACTAAATAAATAAAATTTATATAAACTCCATAATCAACAATCACCAATTAGAAAATCAAGAGTGAACTAAAATTTAAACATTGTATTTAGCATATGTAACATTTTCTTTTAAGAAAATGGAGAGGGAATTCATACTTGCTGTAAGAACTCACAACTGGGACAAGACTAAACGAAATTAAGGGGAAATCCCTTTGTAATATTACAATATGTGAGAATCCCATATTTTCTTACCAACGGAAATGAATTTCTGAGCAACCAAACAGTAAAATCGCAAAATATCAAATGGGTAAAGATATTACCTCCATGAAAAATTAAAGTGACTTGGAATACTGCCAACAAAAAATCGATCTTCGATCAGTTTGCAGAGATGGAGTTGAAATTGGATAACGATTATGGAACAGAGTAGAAAGCGAAGGGTCCTAGAGAGAGAGAGAGAAGAGAGAGAGAGAGAGCAGAGTTTGGTCCGCAAATTTGTTTTTCTTTCGGTGAAGAAGTTTTGGCTTTGTTTACTTTTATGAGCGAAGACTTAAGTGCCGCAGAGTAGCGAAGCTTAGCTCGGTCTACGGTCTACGGGGAGACCATGCGTCACCAAACAGCTGACACGTGGCCTTCTCACCGAATCTGATTGACGATTCTTTCTTCTAACTCATTTTACCCGCCACTCTCCTGTCTTTTTTTTCATCTTTTTAGCTGTCAGTCCAAAATATTTAAGAAATCGCTTGTTTCCTTTTGTAAATTTAAGAATTCTGTAATTTATAATAGGATATATATAGGACCAACACCGAGAAATTTATGGGAGGATCCTTTTTTTTTTCTTTTTTTTTCTCACGCTAATTTAGGAAAGGGTTATTTGCACTTTGACACTAGATTTTTGCATACCCTGAATGAGTGTTAGATATTATTATCATAAATAATAATGAAAAAGTAAGAGATCCTTCATCAAAATCATATAATAGGTAAAAAAAGGACATTTTCTTCGGTTGAATAAAGATTTATAAAATGAATGCCTAATTGTTGGCCAACAATAAAAGAGAATCAAGATTTCCTGGATTTTCTCTGCTAGAATCTGCTTTACTTTTATTCTCCACATGACACATCATTTAAATTTCATTTAAATGGCTAGATAGTTGACGCATCAAAACTTCTCTTAGAAAGAAAAATATATAAAAAATTGCCACAATTCTAAAAATTAAAATTAAAATTAAAAACAAACTAAAACCCTAAAGAATGTATTGGCTGAAATAGACCTCTGGTGCAAAACCTATTCCAACTCCTTACAAAATTGTATTCCAATATAATCACAACTATTTCCTATTTGATGTGATGCCCCTCATTTAAATAACCAACAAAAATCTATAATTCCCCATTTGTGTCCCAATTTATTTTGTTTTTGTGAAATCGGTTTGAGTGTGTTCGTTCTCTTTCTCCATTGTGATGTGAGACCCATCTTTCTATTTATAACCCACATCCTGTGATGGTTAGTAGAAGCAGTTGTCTCAGTGAGTTGTCCCACTGATTCATGTTACAAGTGTTAGTTGCTTTCATAACTAAGGGGGTGTATTGAATTAGAATTTTAATAGATTTTTTTGAAGCTTAAAAGTCTAGTGATATTCAATTATGATTTTTAAGTAATCAATAAAAATATGATGGTATTCAATTAGGATTTTAAAATCATCAATGCAAGTCTGGTTGTATTCAATTAGGACTAAGGGCATGTTTACGTATCAATAATGGAGAAAGTAAAGAATCAGAGAATTTAGGAATCGAGGAACTACTGAATCGGTATAAGAATAATCATTCTCATTAAGCTGTTTACTAAAAATATGGAATTAACACCCTGCACATTTTCACCACAGCACATATATAATTCTCAAATTGGCTAAGGAGACCAAACTAATTCTTCAGCAAACCAGTAAGGTGGTGTAAACATGAGGACTCAATATGCTGAACAAGATTAACAGTAAGAGCCCAATTCAATGATAATGTTAATAACACCTTTGTTCAGAGCCAATTTCAAACGAAAAAATAAACTCCAATAAATATATATTTTTCACATACGTAATTGGTAAACAATCAAATAATAATAACCTACATAATCTTCATATGATTAAGTACATAATCTTCATACTACCAAAAAAAGAGATATATAATCTCCACAAAAGTCTTTATCCATGACCGTACTTTATTTTGTGATGAATGTGAAGACAGAAGAAGAAGAAGATAGATAGATAGAATGACTTACATAGCACAAGGCGTTGCTGCTGCTTCTGGGAGGTTGTGTCTAGAACGCTAACGTGAAAAAGAAGTTGGAGTGTCTTGGAACTTCTTGGCATGAGGTTTTGTTTTTTTAGGGTTTAAGGTGTTTTTGAATTATGGTAAAGTGGTAAGGGTATTTTTGGAAGTTACTAAGAGAAAACATGAATGGGAATGGTATCGACTACTCCCCTCCAGTTGATCTAATACCTAGTTTTGAAGGGATGTGATTACGGATTTTGAGGTGGGGCCCACTTATTTTTTCATTCCTGATTACAAGTAAACGCAGAGGAAGTCGAGAATGGAAATCATTCCCTTTCCTCCCATACTCATTACATATACGTGAACATGCCCTAAGATCCTTATCAAACGGTTGACTACTTAATTACTAATATTACACAAATCAACAATAAATGCCTAGTAGCTTGGTGGAAAACAAAGTTCGTCTTAAATCTTGCACAATCTGTCAGGGTATGAGCATTCTAATGCCTAGTAAGGTATTGTCAAACCCCTCATAGTTAATCAAAGTGTCAAGCATCAAACAACACAAGTTACCTAAATTATGTAACAAGACCGCATAAATAAATTTGCATATGCGATGATGCCATGAACTTACTCCCTTCTAATCCCACTAATTCATATCTTAGGGCAACAAGACTGCATATCCCATACCATGGGTTTTACCACTGTGGCTCCAAAGATCCTAAAATATGAACTAGAGCCTCTGTCCCTTAACCCCATTTTTTATTTACGAATTTCTCAACTTTCACGTTTCATTAAAGGCCCTGCTCCCATCACTTAAATATATTCAGGCTTTGCTCCTGTCACATGAATATAGTCCACATTTTTATTCAGATATCTAAAGCCTTCTCCCACCCCTTATATAACCTTGAACTCAGGGCCGGTTTTGAGATTTTCAAGGCCCAGGGCAACGTCGAAAATAGACCCTATATATATATATATATATATATATGTATACCACACAGGAAAAATCTATGCGGATGTAGAATATTATAAAATGAGATCTACATAATATTATAAAGTGAGATGTATCCATGTGGTTTTTTTATATATATCTCTACATAATATTATAAAATGAGAGATGTATATAAAAGCATAAGAGTACTAAAAAGAACCTGCTTATTTTATATACATTTCTCTATAAGAAACGATGGAAGACCCACACAAAAAAAAAGCATTGAACTACTAAAAATAACTTGCATACTTGAAGACAAAAAAACAAAAAAGCATAAGGAAGGAAACACAATGCTGGGATTCAAACTTTGGAAAGACTTGAATTAAGAATTAGGCCTAACCAACACTGCTAGCAATACTTTATATCAAGATGTCTTTTTTTATTTTTTTTATATAACCGTTAAATATGACCTGACAATGACAAAAAAAATTAATTCTGGGCCCCCCTTGAACCAGGGCCCAGGGCGGTCGCACTTCCTGCCTTGGCCCAGGGCCGGGCCTACTTGAACTACACTCAAACCCAAAACACAATTGTATTTATGAGGCATATGTAATGCAACTCAACATCATTAATCTTTATGAAATAATAATACAAATAAGAACACCGTATTCCTAACGTAATCATATAAATCAATTTATCAATAATAGTATTTCTGGAGCAATATTAATAATAATATTCACATAACATCAAATAATATTCATATTTATAGTATTATTTATAAGCACCAAGATTAAAAGTCACATAGCCCAATCATTGGGAAATCAGGAAACCTTACCTCATGTACAACTAGCTAAAGTACCAATTACCTTTCGGAAGTTGCTGGATTCGTTGAATCTACACTTTGGATCCAATTCATGAACAAATTCAAATCCAAATTATCATTGAGAAGTTTTCACTCTATTTCACCTAAGACCAGTAAACCTCAACTTAACACCTCAACCATGGGCATTTCAAAGATTATGCGCGAAAATGATGAAAATGACCCTAGGTTTATACCCTGTCGAAACCGAAACAAGGTCAAACACCCATTGTCCAAAAGTCACCATTTGGGTCCCTAGGCCCACATCAACCGACACTTCAAACAAAATTTGTCTCGAGTGCACAACCTCGAATTGACTCAAAACATATACCATCAAACTCGAATAAAAAAATCGAGTCAGATGGACTAATATGCGTCGGAGGCTGCCAGAACAACCGCTAAAGCGCTGCAACTCACTGAAGATGCAAGTGGGCTTGGCAAGGGTACTGTTAATCATCTTCCCCAAAATTCTGCATTTTTTCTCTCTTTTTTCCCCTATTTTTGTGCTTTATTTTGACTGAACAAACATGAGTGGAAATGGATAAACTTATAAAACATTTAAAGCCTATTGTCTCTGGTTTCTAACACAACAAACCCCACTCCAAATGGAGCTAAAAAGAACAAGAAATCAAACTCCAAAGTTGGGCTCATAGCTGGTTTTCTGCATATATGAAGAAAACCCCCGGTGCAGCCAAGTAATGTGGTTTTCAAGGACATTATCTAGGCAATGTAGAGGCATAGAGTGGCCAAGAAGCCGATAGTACATACCACTATGACACAAATGCATAAAATAAGCAAATGATATGAACATGACTGAAGCACCATATAGAAATATGACAACCACACCATACTTTTTTTTTTTTTTTTTTTTTTTTTTTTTTTTGACATACCATACTAATATAAATACAAAAAACAACACATATAGTAGTAATTCAGAACCATTTGCTTCATATGTCTTACCAAAATACATAGGGAACAGTTAAACTAATCAAACAGCCATACCTATCTTTGCGAGTCATGAAACTAAAAGTTGAGTTCCCAAAGCCATTTACACTTATTGCAGCATAACCAATTCTCTGGGTTGCTTTTAACTAGAGCTTTAAAATCAGCATTATGTCCCATGGTTGGCAAGAGCTGCAACAGTAAGACCCAATTATGCCTCCAACTAACACTACTCGCTAAGCTCTCCACAACACATGTTGGCTTATTCGGCCCCTCTTTGTACATCCACACCGAATTCAGCTTCCCATTTTTTTGCCTTCACTAGTTATCTGACATTTTTGTTCCTCACATAGCAACACGGTAAACCACAATCCGTGTGACCACATCTATCTAAAAGTCATGGACGACGTGTACGATTTGGTTGATGTTATGGGCCATATCGAATAGCTTATTGGCAGTGGCACAAATACATTCCTTGCAAGCTTGTTTTGATTGATTCCATTAACTCTAAAGCATGTTATAAAAATTATAGTTTTCCATTTCCGTAAATCCAAATACAAAAACCTTTATATTATAAATAACATATAAACAAATTGGAAAGCTATACAATGAAACTAAAGAAAACAAATTGATAGGTAAGTAAAAGCAAAATAAATTATAAGTAAGAAGGTGAGCTTGGTATGGTGAAGCACGTCAAAGACGTTGTCCTAAAGCCTTTGTAGCCTCCCTACGTGTAGGTACTGACGGTCTACAAGACTCCAAGATATAACCTTAATACACAAACTGAAGATCCTCTATGAGCACGTTCACAGACGGATATGTTTACAAGTCACATAACCATTGCCCAAAAATAATAACATAAGTAGAGAAAATATAAAAGGTAAAAGAGGAGAGAATCAGATTGTGGTGGTGATTGTGGTATGTGATATTTTGATGGTGTATTGTGGTTGTTCAAATGTGAAGGAGGAGTAGCATTTTATAGGCATCCAATAACATGTAAACTTCACCACATTAAACTAGAAAATAAGGCATTCAATATAGAAATAAAACCTGAAAATTAAATATTTATAACCTCCACCATAAATAAAATAAAACAGCCAAAATATTAAATAAATCAAAATGGTTAAAATTTTAAAACCTTTTTAAAATTCCAACACAGCACACATCTTCCGATCTAGTTTTGACACTCTTTCAACTCTGAAATGAAGATCTTCCATATTATTCAAGATTTCATGGACAATGGCGGAGCTATGATTTTATGTGTGGGGAGGGCCAATATATTAGGGTTTAGGGTTGATTCCTTTCCCAGTGTTAAGCTTGTAAATAAATAACCGATATCTTTGATTTCCTATTTTCTTAAATATACTTGTGAAAGAAAGATTTGATTGGCTGTTTCTTTTAATTTTTATTAATTATGTTGGTGGGATCTATGAGTAACTTAGCTATTTTGCTAAGGAAAGAGCCTTTTATTTGGAGGGGGAAACGTACATCCCTCCTTCTTTTTGGGTGGGGGGGGCCAAGGCCCTCGCAGGCCTAAGCACACCTCTGCCACTGTTCATGGAAATTAAGGGAGTTAGCAATGCAGTTTAGGGTCGCTGTCATGGTCACCAACCAGGTCGTTTATGTAACATGTCCAACTAAGGGGTTAAATGGGCTTATATTAGGAAACTTGGACTCGTTGCATTCGTCAAGAAAGCAAGTTAGTCCTACGCTGGGACTAACTTGGGCACATTGCATGAATTCAACGTTGTTTCTTTGTTAGTATGAAATTTGTGTTGGCATTTCCTATAGACTCTGGCATTATTGATGTAGCTATTAATCCCTTATTTTCTAGCATTTGTTTCAATAAGTATGAAGCATCCAATTTGAGGTAAAACATCATACAATCATGCATTCTTATTTGGCTAACTCAAAAGTCGTTTTTCAATCAAGGATTTGCCTAGAAATCTGATTTTAAGGAAATTGAAGTTTGATTGAGAAGACTTTATTTAAACAAGTTTGTTTCAAATTAACTTTGTTTTTCCTTTCTTACACATTTAAAAATGTCTTCTCTGCATTATTCAACTCTTGTCTAATTGAGTCATCTTTGTGATCTAAGATTTTTATCCAAATTAGGCCTCTTTAACAGATTGATTGGAAAAGATTTCTTCCTTGTATCTATTCCTTATTGTGACCTAATTTTTGTATGATTCACAAAGAATTGGAAAATCATTTTTTTTATTCCTTTATGTCAAGTGCTAATTTGGTGTAAAACATTTTTTTTTCCTTCTTTAGAAAACGCCTATAAGAGATAAGCTTGTGCTTCTTTTTCCTACATGTTTCAACTTCAATTTTTCAATTTCCAAAGAATCAAAGAAAGCTGTTGTGCTTTAAAATCTTGAGATAAAGCATTAAGTGTCATATTTGCTTGGTAATTTATCAATTTGTGTGTCATCCATTTTGTATTCATTTGCATGCATTCAGTGCCTCATAAGGTTGAGTGCACAAAAAGCGTAGTGATGCATCCTTCAATGAGTTTGAATCGATCGCGACCATAATCAAATTCAACATAAGTAGAATGAGAAGAAATCAGGTGGCTTGAAGCAATTGTGACCAATATTGCTTTCAACATAAGGAGTGTTGGAAGATCACCATGCGAGAAGTCGAGTTACAAAGAAATTGATAAATATTGTCTAGAGTAAGTATAGGATAAGTATTTGTATACTTCTTGTGGTCTAGACATTTCTTAGCTATCCTATAGGTATTTTCATCATCATCATAAATGAGGGTGTTATTAGCATTTTAAATGAAAATACATTGGAGGAATCAATGTGTAACCAAACATAGAGGAGACTTGATGTCCCTAATTCCATGCATTTGTCATCACGAAAGAAGGGGTGTTTGGAATGGAGTTTGTTAAAGGGTGATTTTATTGGCACCCCATTATTTGCTCTTTACACCCCATACTAATTTTAAATATGAATAACCTATTTTACCCTTGTACACAATTACCGTTAAGGACAAAAAAATTTAAAATTAAAATTAAAATTGCTCACTACACCCCACATATGTTCCTGCAATCCTAGTTTGACTTTTTTCTCAAACTATCATGTTTCTAAACCCTAAACCCTAGATTTATACGTTTATACTGGTGAAAAAAATATCTTGTATTTATTCATGAAGGGTGAGATTGAAATTAGAGAGGCTTTGAATGAGGTACAAGTTTATTTTTTGGCATTTTGCAAGTTTAGTATTTCATAACGGTCGCTGGTTGCGTTCAACACATCAGTACCGAACGAGACAGGTAAATTCGGTGGGATGCCATTGAAACGTTGCACCATTTTCTGTTGGGTTTGACCGGTCAGCAACTTAATATTCGATGGAGATCCACCGTAAGATGGAATGTAGTTCAGTGGTTTACTACTGAACTTTTACATGCGTTTCAGTGGCATCCAACCGAAATTTATTTATTTTTTCAGTAACTTATTGCCGACCACAAATTTAATCCAAGCTATTTTGATCTTACTCCCATTGAATGAACAAAAACAAGGTGACGCCCCTACTGAAGGCAACAATGTGGGAACAAAATGTGTAATGGACTATAGTGATCAATTCACAACTTATTCGGTAATTATTTGTCTGAAATCCTTTTTAGTATCATTAACGTGACATTAATGTTTCAAATTTTATGTTTAAATAATATGAGTTTTATGTGTAGATATTCAATGGTAGAGATGCATTACTTCGATGGCCTCGTGAACAAGGAAAATTGAATAATATTGTTCATTCAATATAGGTGATTGTTGGCTACCTGTATTAATTCAACATGCCCTTGCAGCTTATCACTGGAGAAGTTCCATGAGTTCTAATACAAACTTCATAATTAATTAAAATAACAAAAGTTCCATGAAGTGTAATACAAACTTCATAATTAATTAAAACAACAAAAGTTCCATGAGTTCTAATAACACATGCTAGCAAGTCAATTAACCATGACGACGTTGATATGTCATGGTAGACCGTATGTTTGTACCCTCTAAAATCTGTTGCAAGGTCTCAACTGCTTGCTAGTAAGTAAAGATAGATCAATGAGACCTACTCGAGATGGCTCAGTAGGCTCGGCATGTACCTCATCATTACTATCCTGAGTAGCAGCTACATCTTCAACCTCTGCGTCAACATTACTATCATGAGTAGGAACTACATCTTCAACCTCTGTAGTATCCTTAATGTGATCCTGGGGAGCCGCTCTCTGTCTCCTCGTTGAGGGCGTGGAACGGTGTCTATTAGGTCGGGATGATGAAGCTTCAGTAGTACCTCTCCGAGTCCTATTCATATCTAAAAATAAACAATATTAAGTACACACTCAGTAACATATTCGGTACATAATCATTGAAAAACGGAAATAAATTCGGTGGATTATCACTGAAAAAAGAACACATATTTGGTGGAGTACCACTGAAAAACTGAAAGAAATTCGGTGGGAGACTCCTGAAAAATAGAAACAGACTCGGTGGACTACCACCGAAACAAGGTAACAATTTTAGTGGTAACCCAACGAAAGTAAATTAAATTTTCGTACAACTCAAGTTCAAATTCGGTGGACTACCACTGAAGCAATGTAACCATTTCAGTGGTAATCCACCGAAACTAGAATCCAATTTCGTAAAACCAGGTTCGAACTACCCACAACGTTGAAATCGAAATCAAAATCAAAGCCAGGCTTTGGCTTTTCAAAAGTGAAATCAAACGTAGGCTTAATCAACACTTAGAAACATAAATATAGAAATCAAATTTGAAATCAAACCTTGAATAAGGATTTGTGAAAACTTCACCTTCAATGGCTTTCGGGTTTGCAAAGATGGAGATGGGTTTGGGTTTGCTGGGTTGTGCAATGGGGTTCGGTGGTTTGCAGAGACGAGGGTTCGGTGGTGAGCAAAGATGGTTCTGCGATGGCAAAGGGATGAGTTTTTCGATGGTTCTGCGATGGAGGTTGTTGTAAATCTGATGGGGTGTGCGATGGGGTATGTCTGCAAGAGGAGAGAATTTTCGATTGGGTGGGGCTGGATATCAGATGGGGTGTGGTTTGATTTCAGATGGGGTGTGTCTAAAAGGGAATGGGGTTTTCGGTGGGTGGTGTATGATATGGGATGGGGTTTACACAATAAGTTAGGGAATAGGGTTCATGAGGGCAATTTGGGGAAAAAAAAAGGGGTTTAATGAGTAATTTGAAATTTTATTAAAATTTAGTGGGGTGTAAAAAATTATGGGGTGTAAAGAGCAATTTATAGGGTTCATATAGAATTTCCCTTGTTAAATGACCTGAAATAGTTGCTTGTCATTTAAATTGTGTTATTGTGTCGTTGTTTTGGTAGCGAGAGAACGCTAAACCCAAAAGCCTCTGACAGAAAACCTAGTAGCAAGAGAACCCCAGCCGCCACCCTCTTGGGGGTTGGTGGCTTTCTTGCTTCATCTCCTCATCCCCTCTACATCTCACCCCTCCCTTCTTCTCTCCATCTCGCCTCCTCTTCCCCCTTCTTTCTCAGCCTTCCCCTATCTCTACCTCCTCCTTCCCTTTTTCCCCTTTGGCCCAATGTCGATGCTTTGCTGTTTTTGTTGGTTTGTTATCTGTGCTTGGTTGTTTTGCTTGTTTCTTTTTGTAGATTTGAGATTCATGCTATAGATCTACTTCATATTAATATGGCTCGTTTCTATTTGTGATTTGAAGACAAATGAGGTGACTGAGCATCTTGTGTTTGCAGTTGTTTGAGTCGCAATAATTCCATGAACTCTTTGCAATTTTGGTGTTTATTTGTGTTTTAGTCTCTACTTGTATTCTACTTGTGCAAGTTAGTTATAGTTGTATTTGTAATTTTGGGTGTTGTATTTCATATGTAATTTGCTAAGGCATGTGACTGTTACGTTGAAATGTATTTAGTCTTTTAGGGCTATTTGTGGAGATACAAGCTCTGTAATGTCACTGGTGTATCCTCCTATATCTGGACCCTTTGCGGTTAACGTGCATCCATCTTTGTATTAACCCTTTATGGGTATTTGGTCTTTATCGCTAATTTTTTTTCTTTTCAAAAACTCATTTTTTTCTAATCTCATGAAATCTAATGGCGTGTGTGACATCAATTGTGTTGATGCACAATCTTCAATCAATTATAATGAAGTCAAAGTAGGCTCAATCCCTAGTGTTTTGGTATACTTGAAACTCTCTGAACTTCCTTTACCCCAAGTTAGAGAAGTTGAGTTGGCCTTTTTCCCATGCACGCCTTGCACACTAAAACCAAGAAGTCACCTGAAAGTGGTACTAGTGTGGTACCAACCTACCACTCTTTGATACCTAAGGTAGTTTCTATACCAAAAGAAATGCTTAAAAATGAGGAATTCAATTAATATAACTTTTTGAACTTAGCATTTAAACAGGGATAGTTCATGAGAATGAGTTTGACAAGAAGTTAAGTGGTAGCATTGATTGTGATCAAGTTGTAGTTATTGTAAAACTGGAGGCTATAACCACACTGGGTTCTTAGGTCTCAAAAGTAATATTGGTACTTTCATCGTCTATGATGATATTGACATTGACATAAAGGTAATGTATTTTCTTTCACTCCAAACTTCATGTTGAAATTGATTTTCACTTGGTTAAAAGATCGAGTTGCTCATGGCGTACTATATGTCTCTCACGTCGTTGTTGCTAATCGACCAACTTGTTGATGCCTAAACAAAGCGAAGCAGTTTCAATTTCAATGTTCTAAGATTGTGTCTTTAATGGAGGCACCATCTTGTGAGGGTGTGTAAGGAAAGACAACTCTTCCAACAATTTAACATAATCATCTAAACCTCAAATTGGAGTCAACTTTTCTAGCAACACAAGTTCATTGTTGTAGCCCTAATATGTTTCATCCATCATGATTTATAGTAATCACTATTATCTTGGGATTTTCATTGTATAATTGTCGTACTAAGGCTCTTACTTTGTGTATATATGAATAAATATTGTGCAAAACAATGTATTAAAGGAAATATTCATTACCATTATAATTCCTTAAATGTGTCACTACTAGATAAACAAGGAGGTAGGTGAGAGCAAAAGGATCCTGGAATAATTAAGAGACAACAAAATTGTCTCTACCATTTCCAGAAGTTCAAGAGAATTCTCAAACACAAAGGAGTACAAATACTGCATAAGGTTTCTAGTACCACTAGTGAGAGAGTTAGTGATAGAGAAAATTTAGGATTGGAGATTCCTTTATAATGTAATTGCTTGTGATTATAGTTCATGAATTGTCTTTTGACTTAGTCGAATATAACCTTAGAGTGTGTTTGATTTATGAGAAAAATGGCTTGAGAATGGGAGTCCATGCGTAGGAAAAGACATTACTCATTTCAAACTCCTTGTTAGTTCATAGATTAGAGCATTAGGGGTGGGTTTGAAATTCATTTCCATGAAGGGGGAACTTGAAACATTTGTGCCCCTTCAGATTTTCTTTGTTGTGCACTTGGGACAACATTTATTGCAATTTATTGTGAGCACATTCCTCACATTATAAATTAGAAATACATTTTTGCTTTTTTATTTATTTATATTCTTTGGTGTTTTATTTTTCAAATAAGTATATTATTCGAATGTTACTTAATATTTCTAACAAGTATATGATTTTTTGGGTAAGTATTTTCGTGTGTGATATTGCATACCATATTATAGCTAAGTTATTTGGATCATGTATGTCAAGCCTTCCGTAGTATGCATATATCATGTTTCATGGTGCCTTTTCCAATTACGTTATATAACTTTCTTCTACAAAAAGGAAAAGAGAAAGACTATGTTATAAAACTAAAGGGAGAAAATGTAGAGAGAAGTGAAATGTTAAAGATAAAGTTTCACCATGTTTATTCTTCACTTAATCTTTGGTAGAACCACCTATTTATAGGCTTACAAGATAGGAGATTGAATACCATCATTTACAATATACCTATAGGTTACATGCATTAATTACAAATACTTAGTGCATAGGTTACATAAAATTCAATGGTGGAATACTAAGAGGTATGGTGGTCATCCACCAACTCATGCATTTACAACACTCCCCCTTGTATGTCCACCATAAAATGACATAGTTCCCTCATTAAAAACCCTGCTTGGAAAACCCAGTGGGAAAAAACCGAGGCGAAGGGAAAAAAAGTGAAACATTTTTCTGGATCATTGATATGGTGTTGGATGCGCTTATGTTGCTGTTCACTCGTTTTATGTTTGCTCTTGTGATGGAAGGGTAAAGTTCCCCATTGCCTTGAAAACCATTGACTGGTCAACAAGTCAACTGTCTTTAGTGTGCGAGCGTGCCACTGCTAGTAATAAAAATTCTAGCAGACTTCTTAAAAATAGATAACTTGCGCCCGAAGTTACTGATTTTTAAACAAGCGATTGTGAATTTGGGTGAGGAATATCTCCCAAGTAAGTTCTTTTCTTGCCTCAGACTGGTGAGGACTTCATAATTTTTCACAGTACAAAACTGACAGTTTTGGCCAGAATAAATGATAAGATAGTAAACTGTTTTAGGCAGAAGTGCCTTTTACAAAACTCAAGAGGGAAAAACCAACTCTAGAAAGGCAAAAAGAAGGTTGGACTTTCATTTCTGTCTGGATAGAAGCTTCTGACCCAAGCTGGATTGGGTATGCCTGTGCTTGACTAGACTGTCAGCAACTTCAACTGTTGAGTTTCAACTGTAAATCGATGCCAATGTTCGAGTTTGGCAGAGCTTTAATCTATTTTGAACCCTAGAAGGCTTCTTGTGACGGTTAGTTTGATTTTCCAGTTTTGAACAACTCTCTACTTCCTACTTATCTCTCAAAAACATAGTATGCTTATCTTTTGAAAATGGTGCCTTCTCTAGAGCAAAAAATATCTCTAAATATATATAAAAGGAATTTGATCTTTCGGTTGCAGAGATTTTCATAGATGTCCTTCCTTTATACCTGCCCTTGTCAACTCTTTATCAACCCCGTTGAAATTGCTGACTTTTCCAAGTCAGGAGATCACGTGGGTTTGTCTCCAATTTTGGGCTTTTCTTCTCTTTTAATCAAGCCAGGTCCAGGTCGAGTTTTTTGGAGCTATGGGCTGATTTCTCTCTTTTTCGTCTTTTCGAAGCCTAAGTTTTTGATAGATCCTGGGTTGGGCTTTTCTTTTTTTGGATTTTGGGCCCTTGACTCTTCTAATCGCAAGGTCCAGACTACTTGGGCCCTGTAGTTCGTTTTGTTTCTCTAGGCTTTTAGTGTTGGGCTGGGTGTGCAGAATTTTGGCCCAAACAATGCCCCCTTGAATCTGAACCGTTTTTGGAAATGTTTCTTTTTTAAACTTTCAACGGTTCAGATTAAATCAATTGGCCATTAATGTTGCGCGCCACTCTCTTCCATTTCGATTAACCCATGTGTGCCACGTCTTATCTATTGAGCTAGACTTCGTGGGAAACTAGGTAGTTACAAGCTAGTTGCTAGCTAGCCATTATCAAATGACGCCTTGTCTTCTCCACGATTTCGAGCCCTTTTTAAGGAATTTAAAATTCCAGCTCCTGTTCACTTCAAAACCTAGCTTCCTCAGACCTTTGATTTTCTCAGTTTTCCTCAGAATTTTTACTCTTCTCTTCGACCAAACCCTACCTTCCTTTCTTTTGATTCTTCTGTTTTCAACTTTTTTGGAAAAAGCCTGAGAATGTCTTCTCCAAACACGTGCGCCAAGGGTTCTTCTTCTTCTGTTCCTCCTGCCTATATTACTGGAGCTGGCATTGATAAGCATGCTATTGAGGTTCGGAGCAAGCTTCACCCTTTTGCCCAAAAGAATCTGGACGAAAATGTCCTTCACCTCTTTGAAAACACCCTAGTTCTAGGCCCTCACTGGTTCGGTTCTGTCCCTGCTGAAATGGCAAAACTGTTCAAAGGTCACCCTTGATGAACCCTTCTTTGATTTGAGCAATACAAGCAACATTGTCTTCATACATGATCGTCTATCACACTATCCGACCTGCTTTTCACTTTTCACATTATTGAACTCTTTAGGAGCATCAACAACTAATTTAATAGTTAGAATATGTTACAACAATATCAAATTTGAATTCAAAATATTCAAACTCATAGTGTTAACTCTTAATTAAGAATATTGTGGTACTTTATATCCTTCAAGGAGTCGCGTCATCTGATATATCTCAAATATTTCATGAGCTTTGAGGATCTTCATGTACCATACAATCTTAATAAATATGCATTTAACACATGCTATAAGTTTCGCGTTAAAATAACAATTGTATTTATAGAAATGTGGATGCATCTATGATGAGATGGGAGACTAAAACCATGTCTCTACCAGGAAACCTTACGTAATATTAGTGATCTTATTTCACTTCACAAGCACCAATTCGTAACCTTCATACTTAACATTTGTAATTTGGTGTTTGAGTTATAAGTTCAATATCCTGCACTTCATATTTAGTGATAAATGAAATTGCCTATTTCCATTTTGGCCAATCACTTAACCTGACGACATTCATAAGGTGAGATTTAATATAATCATAGCCTTTGATGATTGTAGTAGCTACTAATAAAACAAATGTATCATCAATTCATGATCCCACAATTCTCATGTGCATGCGCATGCATAATTTATAAACATCTCATTGCTTTGGTGTACCAATGCCTCTTCAGGGGTTGATGTTGTCACTTATGGGACAAACATCTCTTTTACGATGAATTAATTAGAATATGTAGATCATATCCTCATATAGAGCATTATTTTTTATAGGGCTTGAATTTTTCAAATAATCTCCACTTATAGAGAGTTAAGTTTTTAGAACCTATATTTTTGTCATGCTCATAGTCACTTATTGTCATGTTAATGGATTGTGATACACGAATATCAATCCATGCTTGCATATTCATAACTTTATATATGCATTATCTTGATGAGACAAAAGCGGACTAATTTAACACTATTTCACGACGTTCTTCAGGAACTGTCATTTCTCCCCCTAACGGTGGGAAAATTGTCTCAAAATGTAGGAAAATAAACTCACCATCATTATCAATTCAAATTGATTGGATTGGATAATGTGGGAGTTATGCTCGTAAGCGTATTGACAAGAGACAAATATGTGACCATTTTAGTAGGCACATTCAATAAAACTGGTGAAGTGATCCATAATTAAATGTTGTATAGGCTCACAAATATCCCTTTGAATTATTTCAGGAAAGAGGGCTCAAAGTCAATTTTTGATTGATATGATCTTATAACAGCTTTTATTTGTGAGCATTCTTTATAATGATATTTGTTGGACAAGACAATATTTTGAGTCTTTAAACGATGTCCTTACAAATTTATAAAAATCTTATGTATCATTGTGGAACATGGATTGCCAAGATAGTCATGTCACAACATAAAAGTTATCCGGTCAATGAACTTCTGGTTCATGATATCATAATCTTCAACTGCTTTGATAGTTGTGTAATATTAGGGCCTCATGAACTTTTGGTTCATGACATCATAAACTTCAACTACTTTAATAGTTGTGAAATATTGGGGCCTCATGAACTTTTGGTTCATGACATCATAAACTTCCTACTCACAAAAGAAAGTAGGAAGTTTCTCCAATAGACGCCTCTGGCTGTCAATATTGGGGCGGTAATACAAAACATTACCATTGTAAAATGAAATTAACTAATAACCCAACATAAATAAAATAAAATAAAATAAAATGAGTAAAGTGGTATAAATGAGGAATAAAATAAATAAATTAAAGACTATGAAATTCCAAGATAATCCAATATTAATGTGGATTCAATATGTAGATAAAACTACAAGTTTAAGACTTGGATTTCCAACCAATTCAAGTTCATATAGGCACAAATAAGTAATGAACTTCAGGTTCATATATAGTATTAAGATCCATGAAAAACTATGAACTTCAGGTTCATATCAATATATATTCGAAACTTCAAGTTCGAATACGTAAATCTAAATAAATTGAATTAATAGTTGTGCTTTGAACTTCATACTCGAATCCATGTATATGCACTCGAAACTTCAGGTTCAGGTTCTTGACATATGTAGGCCTCATGGAATTCTGATTTTGATTAATACAAAATCGAGGAGTTTCATGTCCTTATGTGCTCTTTAAATTCGCGGAACTTCACGCCCTCAATTATTTGGAATCAAAGAACTTTAGGTTCTGATTCAATCAAAAGAACTCTAGGTCCTAATCTAGTTATATGATGAGGATCGAGGAACTTCGGGTGCTGATCTTTTGTATAATACAAACTCATCATAATAATTAAGATCATACTTAAAATTAAATAAACAAACAAATAAAAAAAAACATTGCATTATATTCATGTGTAATAAGAATAAAAAAAATTTTCCTTAAACGAGCATGATGAAGTCTGATGGTGAGTACAAAGAAACTCTATACCATGTGATGACTCTAGCTCATATAAGAAGAAAGAAAATTCAAAGAAAGAAAACATACCAAGAGCAATGCCGTGCTGATAACGTGTTATAAAACTAGAGAGAGAAAATGTAAAGAGAAGTGACATGCTAAAGATAAAGTTTCACCATGTTTATTCTTCACTTAATCTTTGGTAGAACCACCTATATATAGGCTTACAAGATAGGAGATTGAATACCATCATTTACAATATACCTATAGGTTACAAGCATTAATTACAAATATTTAGTGCATAGGTTACATAAAATCCAATGGTGGAATACTAAGAGGTATGGTGGTCATCCACCAACTCATGCATTTACAACAAACTACCATATGTTGATATATATATATATAGCTTTTTTTTGGGTCAATTATATATATAGGTTAATTATGTTGTAATTATTGCAAATGTTGAAGCTAATTAAATTTTCCATTTTTTATTTTGGAAGAAATTTTAATTCCTATTATTACACAAACAAAATGAAAATGGTAATAAAAGGTATCTCCTACTAATCATTTCCCAACATTTCCAACAATCATTCCCATGTAGGAATGGACTTTGGAGTTGCATTTTGGAAAACTCATTCCATTAGGGGCGGAACCATGACTCAATGTATGGGTGAGCCAAAACATGAAACGCATAGTTTAATTATATAACCATTTTGGCCTATTGAGTAGCTATTAACTACAAGATATGCAACATCTTTTTTATCTTCAATAAAATAGTACAAATTTACTACTAATATTCATCACTACACCACAACTTCCTAACGATAGCATGTCAAAAACGCTATAATAGGCTACGATAACGTTATAGAAAGCATTGTGTCAGCTGGCGCTATAATAGCCTCAAATATATGATAACGCTTTTGACACGCTATCGAAGATTCATATTCCATAGCATTTTAGTAACGAGAGAGATAGAGAGAGAGCCAGAGTGCAAGATAGCTAGAGATAGGCCTCGTCAATGGGTCGGGCTGGGTTAGCCTAGCCCAAATTTAATGGGCTTGGGCCGGGTCGAGTCAGGCTTTAAAGAGGAGAGAGAAAATAATGGGCCGGGGCGAGCCGGATTTGTTTTTTAAAATTCAAAGCCCATGAGCTGGGCTTGAAAAAGCCCATCAAGCCTGGCCGAATTAAGCCCAACGAGCCGGGCCTAAATGGACCTATTTTATTTTGTCAATTCTTTTTTTTTTTTTTATGTTTTGGTATGTTACGTTGTTTCCTCTTTTTTTCATAGTTCTCAATTTACATTTGTCTATATGTTTTTGGTCTCCATTTTTTCTTTGTTCATAATTTTTTTTTTTTTTTTTTTTTTTCTTATAATATAAAGATATAGTTATACAACCCCATATTAATAAAATCATATTTTATCTCATACTTCATTTTTTTAGTTCTTACAATGATAATAGATAATGATTTTCTCCATATTTCATTTAACTTGGGTTTTTTTATATATTTATTTATATGTATATGAGCCCATGGGCTGGGCTTTCTTGGGCTCAAATAGGCCGGGCTGGGCTTTAGACACTCAAGCTCAAGCTTGGCCCACTCAACAACGGACCGGGCCGGGCTAGGCTTTTTCTCGATGGGCTGGACGGGCCCCCATCGGCCCATGGGCTCGCGGGCCTAATGATGACCCCTAGCTAGAGAGTTAGAGCAAGAGAGTTAAGAGGGTTATCACAATATTGAAAATTTTCATACTCCCGCTCCAATTTTTAACGTCCGCGCATAGTGCTTTTTGTGTTATAGCGTTTTCTCTTATCTTTTTTGCAGACTTTGGTAAAAATGCTATGGTGTAATGCTATCAATAACGCGTTGTGGTGTAGTGCATGTTGGAATGGAAATTTAGCAACCATTTACTAGTGCTGGAAGGGGCCATAAATATATTAAAAAGGCTGGGAAAGGGAGGGTTCCAAGGCCACTTCTACCTTAGGCTTGCCTCCACCGTCGTCGTTAACCGAACGAGAGGTTAGGGAGCTTGCCTATTCCGTACGTCTCCTGTGAGAGACATGTCTTAATTGGTTTTATCTTATTCTTGGTAATATAAACAAGTAAGTTTACATGATAGTGTTGAGTGTCAATACAATTTAGTTAAAAAAAGATATGTGTTTTCAAGACATAAAAATTAATTAAATTATCACATGGCAGGAACATTCTTATTGAAATTTTTCTCAGACGTGCTACTATACATATCCTCTTTGTACGGAATACTTTAAGCTTTAAGCCATAGTGTTTAGTTCCACTAAGTTACTAACCAACCAAGTTTACTGACTTGATTATCAGAGAATTCTTCCCCAATAACACACACACATGCCCCTTCAATTTGCAAACCAGACAAAGTTGGTCTTGCTTTCACTAGACTATTGTGTAAACTACGTCTCTAGCAAAGAGTGGTTAAACATAACCAAACCCTAACTCATACTGCCTTATAATACGGAGGCAAATTCAAAATGGATCTAAAAAACAAAGGTAATTGTTCTTAGCCGCTTGCATCTTAACAAAAGTCAAAAATCAAGTGAACATGAAGATTCAAAACCATCGAAAACAAAGAAATATCTTGATTTAGGAAATAAAAGAAGGGGATCGAAAACGTATTTTCATAGCAAGCGTTTTCTCTGAATTGCTTATAAACAACATGGATAAATTATTAACCAGGTTTCCACATTATATTATGTAATATTTTAGGTTAAAATATGTGAACACTGCAAACTCATTGAAGACCAAGCAAAACTACCATTCACGAATCACACCCAGTGGTTTTACTCAAAAGCCATGAACCATATTCTTTTTTTGCTTTGGTCCTGATGCTGCCGACTTTATAGATTCACTCATTTACAAAATACTGACAGACCAAATTAGGCCAATCAATCACTCAATCGTATCTCTCCCGAAGCATAATATCCCGCCTCACGAAAACGACATCTCCAATTACTCTATGTACACCCAAAAACGACGACGACGACGACATAGAACAGTGCTTGCTACCGAATCGAAGAAACGACATGAGAGCCCAAAGAACGACATTCATCATAATTCTCTCTGAGAAGCACTTCTCCAAAAGCCGGCTCCGTAAAAGCGGGCCCACATCTCCTTCTCCAGCAAATCTGCGCCCTCCGATTCCGCGTCGCTCTTCTTCTCATCGCCGTCGGCGTCGGCGTCTCTATTGGCGTCCATGTCATCTCTGAAGAGGGCGCCGCCGGCGAGCCCTTTCGGCCTGGGCTGCAGCAGCCCCTTCTTCTGAGCCACGCACCGCCGCTTCTTCTTGGTATTGGCCCAGGCCTTCCTGCACAGCCCCTTTGGGACCTTGTACACCGTCAGTATCAGCAGATTCATCACGCTGCAGGGACAGCAGCAGCACACCGCCGCGCACTCCGCTGCCGCGCCGCCGGCGACTTCGCCGACTCGGCGCTTCTCGCGATGTAACGGCCGAGTCGACGGCGGCGATTCAAAGGAGGAGTTCCGAGTCATCGGGGGTTAAAAAATCGAGGAGGCTCGTTCTAGGAGGATTGGGAACAGAATTGGGTGAAATTAGGGTTCAATTGAGAAAATTGGGGGACGAAGATTGAATTATGGGGCGGGGAAGATTGGGATTGTTTTGGATTCATTTTATTTCGTGGGGAAGATATTTTTCCCAGAAAGCTAGAGAACCCAAACCCAAAATGAGAGAGAGGGAGGGCTACAAATGAGATATGGAGAGAGAGAGAGAGAGAGAGAGAGCGAAACGGACGGGATAAGTGGGACCGAATCTTTCGGCAGAAAAATCGAATGACGGTGTGAGAGATATATATAGTTTTGTTTGGGAAGACGAAGAAGAAAACTGAAAGGGGGCGTGCGAATGGGAAATACGTGGCAACCAGCAGAATCGCTCCACGTGGACACGATGAGTCAGATAGGGAATGAAAGTGAAATATGAGAGATTTTTTTGAGGAGGAATTTTTATTTGTGGCAGGAATGAACTGAAAACAAAAAGAATTAGGGTTGGGGCTTTTCTAGAAATTTCTCCACCCCGACGTGGTTTCAGTTTATATGGTTGAGGTTCATGGGCTAGTTGTTTGATCGGTTTAAGCATGTCAAATTATTCGATGAACAAATTTAACCACTCCAGTATAATCTGTTAAAACATAAAACTAGTTACAACAAATATGTATTTCGGTTTGGGCATTTGTAGTCAAGTTTGTTAGTCTACCGTTGCCCTTTTTTATGCGCTATTTCTCGATCTATGTGTGTCATTCTTACGATAAATTATGCTAATCTTCTTTATACTGTTTAGATTTTATCAGATATTCCGAGGTAGCAATTTGCCTCTATATATTGTAGTTTGATTTATCTACGATTTGATTTGATTTTTTATTTTTTTTAGAACGAAATATCTACGATTTGATGGAATTGAAAAATTGGGGCACCAATTTGAAAAAACCAACAATAATGAATGGATGGCATCTAGACCATTGGTTGAGCTGTCAATCAAAATGAAAATGGTTTGGAGTTTGACGGGCGTCCATATCACTGGGCTCGGCAGCTCAAATAATTATAAATAAAATAAAAACGTGAGGCCAACTAAACGTGCAGAGCTTTGGATGAAGGAAAAAACCAAAACCAAAACCAAAACGTGTGAAGGTGAGAAGTAGGCCTCGCATTCGTGTCGTGTTTGCAGTGTTCGTGTCGTGTTCCTGTCAACTTGCTTTTCTTAACGGGTTGACACGACACGACACGATAAGAAAACGGGTTGGAAATGTCAAACACGAACATAATCCATTACAATTCGTGAAACACACGACACGATACAATAACCCGTTAAGAATTTTTAAAAACAAAACAAAAAATAAATGTATAAAAAGACGAAAGAGAAGAAAGAGAAGAAAAAGAAAAAAGAAGAAGATAAATTTACAAAAATGCCCTTGAGCTTAACGGGTTAACGGATATTCGCGAATTGACACAACATGACACGATAGCTTAACAAGTGATTAACGGGTCAACACGATATTAACGCGACACGATAACTCAGACCCGAATATTGAATTTTTCATACGAATTCGTGTCGTATTAATGGATCGTGTATAATATACCACCTCTAGTGAGAACAGAAGAGAACAGGAGAGGTGGGCTGCACTGTACATGCAGCCGCAGGCAATCTTATCAATTTGATAATAATGTGAACTTGTATATTTTGCCGGCGTCAGAATTTTGCCTTCAAACTATTACAGATTTGCATCACATTTGGACCTTTTCTCTTTTCTCTTATTCTTTTTTTTTCATAAAACCTTTGGAAGTGGTTGAGCTGTAGCTTTCAGGTTGATGTGATTGTGAAATGAAATGTAAAATATAATGGTGGTCAATTTTCCGAGAGGAATTTTTCTGGCCATAGCTACTTAGTGGATCGCACTTGTATATATGAGTCCGGCCAATTACGCATACACAATAATTAAAATCTTGTAGACTTCTAGTTATTGGAAGACCAAGAGTAAGAAAGATGAGGTTTTTTAAAAAATACATTTCTTACTGAGATGGACGATAACATATTAAACTCACACACTATATAGATGCTAGGATTTGAACTGAGAACTTTTTTTGGAGGAGCAATTACTCCAACTACTATAATAATATTTAGTCATTTGCAAAGATGAGGCATTCAAGACTTCAACTCTCTCTTTTTTTTTTGGGTCAAAGTTCAATACTTACCCTGAGGGTCTCATAATTTGAACTATAAAACTTTTAGGTATTTTACAAGGGAATAAAAAGAGAAGAAAAAAAAATGTTAAATTGATGATGTGATAAATAAGGGACCCACTTTTGTGCTTGCTTGGCAATGGGCTCCCTAAACCACCTCCTTAGCTAAAATTTAGGGAGGAATTGAAAAAACTCACCTCCAATCATGCTCCCTATCCAACTCCTAAAATCAGAAGACCTCTAGAAGCTCCTAAATCTGAGAGAAAAGAGAAATGGCTTCTAGTGACTCCCTAATAATTAAATTCTATTATATTTTATTATTATTTTAAATAATGATTGTCTTTAATTTTACAATTTTTTCTTGCATTTAATAATATTTTTAATCACCTTTCCATTGCAAAACAAGAAGCAAATATTTCATAATAAAATATTTTTAACATTTTATTATTTTTTTTTTGCATTTGCAAAATTTTTTGTTTTTTTTTTTTTTTTTTTTTTTTTTTTTTTGCAACGTACAAGCAAAAAAAAAATTCAATTATTTTCACTGTAGACATTTTGCAGCACACAAACACCCTTCTTTTTATAGTTCTTTTCCCTGTAGTTATTTTGCAAAACACAAACACTTTGAACACACAAAAACCATTAGAATATCAAAATTGAATTGCAGAACCAAAGACCAACAACTCTTGAATTGAATACATTTTACTGTTGGCATTATTTGCTACAAAACCCAAAATGAAAATTGAATTGGAGTTCATCAAAAAAATAGAATTTTAATTGAAAGCTTTTGCACAACGAAAGACCAACAACTCCTGGAATTCTTTTTACTGTTGGAATTTAGCTATTTATATTGGATGTTCATTCGCTTGCTAGAGTGTTTTTTGTTGTGTCTC